ACAGGAATGTTCACATATGTATATAAATATCTATGTATGCATACTGATATATAGACATACTTATGTGTGTCCTCGCCTGACAAACTAGCAGATAATTGCAAAATTGTCTATCTTTTTTTTTCTCCCGTCAATTTGTTTTTGATATCCTAAATAAGTGTACATTTATCTGCAAATAGAGAATAATTTTCATCCCTTACCTCGTCCGACAGTTGAATATTATCGTCACGTGATCTCCGCTCCGTGGGAAGGGTGTTTTTTTTATCTCTTGTAATTTCTTGCGTTTCTAAGGAACAAATCGACATTCGTGCCATTTTAGTTTGACATAATGGTATTAAATGTTGTGGCCTGGTCACATACTGGAAGTATTTTGGTGTTTAGTTCTCCGCCTCTTCGAATATATTAACTGATAATCGGAAGTAGTGCAGAAGAGAACTCTGATAATCTGCATACGGGAAAGAGTCAAACTTTTTCGAGGTGGAAATTCAGTCTATTTTAGTGTGACCTTTTTATATTACAGTGGTTACTTGACGCGAACATGTTAATACTGTCCGTTGTGTGATTCAGAATGTATTAATAAAAACGAAATTTTTCGTATAATGACAAATAACCAACATACAATTTATCAAAATTAGTAGAAACTCATCATGAAAGCATGATTGTGCTTAGTTAAAGTGGCTCATCATGCATTATTTTGTAGATGCCATATATTATCGTGTATAAGACGACCTTTAAATCCCAAAAATCACCCTCAAAATTGCGAGTTATCTTATACTACAATTCTAAAAAAGAAACCTTCAATTCTGAGTGATGTTTGTCGGTAGGCTAACCTCAGCCTCAGTGCGATAACCAATAACATACATGAAAAGATTCACATTATCAAATAAACTGATAATAAAATCAATTAAACCATTTCTACCTTATATATTACTGGTATAACTTCATAATAAATTGCCTATTCGAAGAGTAATTAAATCAATGAAATCAATTTGTATCATACTCAGCTGAGAAAATGTAAACATCGACTTATGATTCCGGTCATAGCAACCTTTATCTTTCGCTAAACTTTTAATAAGCATCAGGGTAATGTTAATTACGGCAGTAATAACATTTAGGATAACTATTATTAAACTGTTATTAGCGGTATTTTGTGATTGTCGATGAAGTATAAGTAAATGGCCATTAGTACACCAGGCTGGGGAAACAAAGAGGAAGAAAAAGAAGAATTACTATTCACAAGAGATCACTTGATGAAACGTAAACAAAACAATGGTTTCCCTTTTAGAGGATGTGTGTAGGAAAAACATGATATAGAATTGGTTTTGTTATTTCGTTTATTTTGAATTTCTCAGGGCACAGTAAGTAACATCATTTATATCATCTTTATATAATCAATAAGCCGTCGTCTTATACTATAAGTATAGAATAAACTCAGGAAAATTTGCTATATGTTTTGACTTCGTTTTATCAAAAGGCCGCCTTATACGAGGAAATATACGATATGTTTCCCCCATCTTTTACTATCTCACCTCAAATGCAATATTAACCGTTTTTCTACCTATGAGGAAACTTTTGTCATTTATTGACCAAACAGCCACTATTATTTTCGGTTGAAATTTATAAGATCTTTCTCTTAAAACATTTTTTTTTTGTAGCACAGGTTTTTTCAAATCCAGTAGCTGTTATATCTCTTTCCAGTATTGTTAAAGGTTTTCTTCCGAACGTTCTGTTTGAAGTGGTGTGGAATGTTAACATTACTGATAATTATGTCATTATTTTCTCTCCGAGTTACATGTGCTATCAATTTTAGTTGTTTCCGCTGTTAGTATTCCTCAAGTGATGTGGGTTCTGTTATTTGTTACAGTTTTTTAGTGCCAGTGTACAATGTTCAAAGAAAGATGATCTTTGCTAAGAACCTCAAACTTTTCTCGCTCAAGGCCTTTTTTCACCATTGATCTGAGAAAGCATTTGTATACAGCTGACAGTTTAGATATTTCTAAACTAGTATGGTGCCGTGCATAATATCCATAGTCACATCTATAGATAGTATTTTCTGGATATATCCACCCAGTAAATTGGTTTCTATGATTTTTTGTTCACTTGGAGGTTGAAATTCTTACTTGCAATTCGTAATTTAAAAATGCTGTTTAGTGGCTAGTCAAGACTGTCATGTGATTTTAAGTAAGTTATTCTCTAAGACCTCTTTAATTATCCAACAGTTCTACACGTCTCGTGTTTAATTACTTAGACGTAAAATCTATTTTAAGTAATTTCTGACAGGAATAGAAAATAGATGCTTTTAAATAGAAGCATTTTGTATCAAAAAATAAAACTTTTATTCGATAACAGGTGACAAATTAATGGATGAAATACTGAAGTTTCTGACTTCTAAAAGATCCTTTATTAAGGCTGGGTAATCGATTCTAAACTGGAAACTGACTTTTGAAAGCTCCCTTTTAAAACTGGGTAGCCGAATCTAAACTGGAAATTGATTTCTGTAAGCTTATTTCTAAAGCTGGAATATGACTTCTTATTTAAGACGTTATATTCCAGCTTACAATCGGTTACCTTACTTTAAAGCTGGGTAATAGATTCTATGCTGGAAATTGACTTCTATAAGCCCCTTTTCAAAGTAGGGTTAACCGATTTTAAGTTGGAAATTGACTTCTGAAAGACCCTTTTTAATGCTGGCTAACCGATTCTAAACTAGAAGTTTAATTCATATAACTGGAAGTTCGTAACTTCAAAGGTTGTAAGTTGAAGGCAGAATGTGTATTTAGCCAGGTGAAATTTGATTTATTTCACCGTCACTGGGTGGATGGAGGCTTACATGTCTGTCAATGTAGGTCAGTAGGCAACACGACTTCCACCGACAGGATTCTAGTTAGGGCGGTGAGGAGAGTAGGTAAGAAGGAGAATTTTAAGGTATGCGGCCTTTTGACCTCCTCTTTTTCCTTTTCCCCTTCTTTTACTCTCTCACTCCATTCATCAGTTGTCTTTTATTTACTTTCTTCCTTAGTACCATTTTCTCTTCTTTTTCTTTAAATACTTCTTTTTACGTCATCAATGACAGGACATTTCTTCGTAAGGACAGAGTTCTCATTTCTCGCGTCCAACCGGCAATCTTGAAAGTTGCCACTTTTTTTTTTCACCTTCGTCTATCTGAAGGCAACACTAAGTCAACCTGTATTGTAGGTATGCAATTCTCTTACCTGAATGCCTCTAGGACAGGGAGAGCCGGTTGCGTCGATTTAGGTGCGTGTGGAAGTGCGAGCGTGCGTTCAGAAGATTGAAAAATCGGTTTCGTTAAGGTATTCCATGTGCGCATGAGCGCATTTGATAGAAACAAAGCAAATATTGTGATTGGTATTTTTATCAAGGAGGTCAAGACTTCTGAACTTTCCGCTTCATTCACAGGCATCATTAAAGGTAAATTACTCAGAAAGTGGCTTACTGAATGTTATTTACGTGTTTTAACCGAGAATATATCACAGATTTTACAAGTACACCAGAGTACTGATTGATGGAAATCTCACCGGTCTTGACGACATGCTAAATTCCCTCAGAAAATACACTGCTGCGCACATAACAAAGCCACTACACTTTCTGTCACGTGTTACATGTAACCTGTTTCTTGGTTTACAAAGCTTCACATTTCTTTCTAGTGTCAGAGGACGGTGTTCAAGCCCAGGTAAAAGCAAGGATAACAAATGCATGACTTATAAAGCAGGCTTTCGCTCGCTGGGAAGTTTCTCAAATGGGAGGGGATGGTAAAAACGCAAACATTGCAGGGAGCTGCAATGGGTAGGAAGTTGTGAAGAGACACGATCGCATACGTCCAGTAGGGTTACAACACCTAAAAGAAGATACATTAAAAATCTCAATTAAGCCTATTTAGTATTGATTGATGCATTAAACAGATCTATCCCTAGTGTGATTTTTAATACATATAAACAAACAACAGAACACTTCCATTACTTAGATTATTTAAAATCGAATTATTGTCCTCTACTTTTTGTTATTCTCACAACAGTTCCATCGATGTGTCCCCCGACCTTCTTGTGTGTTTGCCGACCCGGATAGATTTCAGAGAATTTCGAACTAAAATCTTGTTGTAATCTACAGGGTTAGATTGTCTTTGTTCCTCTGGCCATTTCTAGGGATATCTCGTCATGTTCTTTTGTACTCGATTATTGCTTCTTGGATGTAATCTACGATGTTTGATGGTCCTTGTTCCTATGGTCATTTCTAGGGATATCTCGTCATGTTCTTTTGTAGTTCTACTCGATTATTGCTTCATTAAGGTAATCTACGAGGTTAGATTGTCCTTGTTCCACTGACCATGTCTAGAGATATTTCGTCATGTTCTTTTGTATTTCTATTCGATTATTGCTTCCTTGATGTAATCTACGGGGTTAGATTGTCCTTGTTCCTCATTTCTTGGGATATCTCGTCTTGTTCTTTTAAATATTGCCTACGCGTTGCTTGCCGTTTCCACTGAATCTAAGTCTGAACTATTCGGCCTAATCGATCTCACAATGACACTAAATTTGACAATTAATTTACGGTACAATGCAAAGCCACCAGACGATTATTATGCAGTGTGACACTCAGGAACCTAGAATTTGGAGACTTGAACCTGATGTTCTTAATGCTTACCTGCTGCTACGCTGTTGTTGTACAGCTGCTATTTTGCCCTCCTTTGCCATCGGTCTTCTTTTCTTACTGCTGTTGCTGCATAATCCTTGCCTTTAAACTTGACTCTCTCCGCTATCATTTTCTTGGGGCGAAACCTGTTACCATTTCAATGTTAGAACTCCTAGTGAAGACGTCAAGCTGACGAAAGTAGATGAAAACATCAACAAAGGAATTTGCTTGAATTTCATATTCTGTGAGTACGTTAATATAATTTACTGACTGGAAAGACTTCTCAATGAAACAGAACTAACGAATCTTTGTCGCTTTAGACATTTGTTTAAGTTAGTCTGAGAACAGCGACATCACATGGAAACACCGGTTCTCGTGCGATCACCGAAATTAAGCAACATCGAGCCTTGTCACTACCTAAGTGGGTGACCTGCTTTCGAATACCAGGTGCTGTTAGCTAGGATGTAAATGTTATGCAATAAATAAGGGCTCGTAATTGGAAATCGGAGAGACGTGTTCAAATCCTACTTGGGCACGTTATATTCACTTACGCACTAATACACTTGGAAAAAGATATGAAAGCACCTCTTCTTCCACAGCTATGGGTTAATTAGTATGACTTGTATCAGTAAATCATTATTATTATCCAAAGAAAATTATTACAATCTAAAAAAATATTTTCTGGTTTTAAATAACCCGCAAAAGGTTGATAAACTGTAAAAAAAAAAAAAATCAATCAAACTGAAGAATGCAAATGTGGACATCCGGTGAGAATAAAATTTACTAAAGCATAAATGGTCGGTAAGATGAGCTCACTAGCCATTATTTTAAATAGAGGTACTCTCCATTTGTATATGTTGTTGTTTGTGAGTTAGTGTTTGTTGACAGATGAATTAAAGGTTGAGATTCTTTTATCCGAAACTGTTGGGATCACAAGTGCTTTGGTTTTGAGATTTTTTTCGGATTTTGGAATACAGTCTATTTAATTTGTATATTGCATCTATAAAATGGGGCAGCTTTAGAATGGAACCCAAATATGAACACGATATCCCTTTTACATTTCATAACACAGCTTACATTATATAAATAACATATACCCTGAAGGTAGCTTTATATAAAATTTAATAAACTTTGTGTACATACAGATACAGTTAATAACATTAGTCATGTAATGTTCACACGGATTTTTAAGTGGGGAAATTAAGATTTCATTTATAAATAATGTTTTATACTTTCTGTGCGTGTACAAAAAACATGATTACTACTTACAAATATATATATAAATTCAGGAGTTTTGACATTTTGAATAATATTTTTACTGAGCACGAAACACCTGATAAGTCATTCACGAACGAAGGTGTTGCTGTGACGATCGCTAACAAAAAAAAAAACTTGCGCTACTGTAGGCTACGTATCTAGGCAGTTGAGGTCATTTACAACAGCTGCACATCACCTAGGAACCTTCCCAGTGCTTTCTGAAATTTTCCATTTGTGGTAAGTCACGTCATCACTTGAAAAAATTTCGGTTTTTGGAGGTTTTCGGATTTGGGAATTTCGGATAAAGGATACGAGTCTTGTGCTGATTTTTAAAAAAGTTTCACAGATGAATATGCTTATAAATGGATTGTTAAAGATATTTTATTTAAATAATTCTTCTGTTGTTTTTTATTTCTTACAACACTCGACAAAGATCTTTCTCTCATTTTCCTTACATTATATATCTCCACTAACGTACAATCATTTCAACTTTTTTCTTTGGATGTTGTAACGAAGTTAACAATGTGCGTGCTTTTGGTTGAATCTCCAAATCCTATGGCTCCCAGTTCACTGTTATATCCACTGAACCAAAAGTATTACTACATCCTGTTGAAAAACTAAGATTATCGGCTCGTAAAGTTGTATAATGTATGGGTAGCGTCGCAGTTATCGGCACAATGTAGAATCGGCGCAGAAAGTGTAATTAGCGAACCGAATTCAAATTCCTACTCGTTTTGATGCGTTCAATGTCGGTCCAAATGACATGAATACATCACTTCTCTCCACAAGCTAAGGCATGGGGTATAAAAGAAAAATAAAGTGAGTTCTGACTACTGCCTATAGGAATAGGACAGTTCTAGATTCGAAACCGGGGAGAAGACAATGGGAAATCTGTCCACTATCTTTCTCAGGGAATCCTGGAAAATTCCCAGAAAAGAAAGAAACAGAATCTATAGAAAGCTATAACTGTCCATGTTTTGAAGGGAGAAGGCTTAAAAAAATGTTTCTAATCCTTATTCACAAATATTTTGGAAATTTCGTTTAGATTATTCCCAAATGTTGAGTTCAATACCCACCCTCGCACAGACACGCACACGCGTTCATATATATTTTGAGATTCTTCCACATCCACCATTCTGTCCCGACGCTGATCCGAGTGACAGTGGCCTATTCCGTTCAATGGCACACTTCCTCCGCGGCCAGCGATTCAACACTTGTGAAGGAAACTTGTTTACAGTTTTTATTCAAAGCCAGCGAACTGGGTATCTAGAACAGATTCGGATGCTGACTAATTACTGACAGAAGATCGTCGAGAATGATAATAAATGCTGGTGTTACTCAAAAAAATTTTATTGTTTTCTTTCCGCTTCCTAAGTGAGTCAGGACTTTCTGGCCAACCTAATATATATATATATATATATATATATATATATATATATATATATATATATATATATTTAAGCGGACAATGAGATTAACACCGAGTAGCGACGGTTAGTTTCATCCTTGAACGTAATCTTCAGTGCATTTGTGTTGTGTTTCAACTCGACTATTTATATATGCATAGTCAATGGTGCATTATGGATAGCAAGGTATATTATCCTAATGGACATTGGATGGGTGGTAGCTGTTGTTTCAAATTATTCTAGAGGCTACTGAGTGGAAATAATTGTGGATCCGAATGCAGTTAACTGTAGCTATTTCATAGTGTTGTATGTCACACATTTTGCACATTACCTATTACCTATTATTGCTTGCTGTATTATTTGTTGTTGATTATTAATATTACATTTACTTGTGTTTATGTGTTCATTTGTAGTTTGTTAATTTGTTTATTATTTGCTTAATTTGTTTATTCATTTATTTAGATTTTTGCTTATTTTAAATTCTTTTTTCGAACGGTGAATATCTTATTTGTTTCGTTTAAAGTTTTGTCGCTTTATCTAAAGTATATTACATTATCTTCATTGTATACAACGCATATATTTGCATTTTTCATGATGGCATTTTCGAAGGAATTCATTTTTTTTTTTGATTTTTTAAGTAACGTAGTAAAAATTTTCTTTCGTGTCTGCATTTTGAGATAAGTTCTGGTCGTTTATTTAGGTTTCTTTTGGTCTGCAAAGATGATTATAGCTATTTTTTCTGTAGGCAGAGGTTACCGTTATTATATATATATATATATATATATATATATATATATATATATATATACATTCTGAAGTTTTATTATGCAAATCACATAAAATTCTGTAACTCGAATTTGCTTTGAAAACTTATATGTATTATTTATATATTTATTATAAAAATTATAATCTGAAGTCATTATGCAGATTAAATTAATATTAGTTTAAGGCCTCTGAAACCTAATAAAATCTATTTTTTATTTTTTTCCATAATATATGTTGAAACATGGATAATGGAAAGGATCTAACAAATGCTGCAAAACAGAAAATAAAGTTATTGTGAGAGAATGTTCACACTGGAGATATCAAAGCAACATTGCAGAGATCATCGAACGATAAAGATGGTTGTCGAAAATATAATTAAGTTGCTAACTAGAAGCAAAGAAAAAGGATTTAAGAACTTGTCTCCCCGGAGAAGTGAGGGGGCGTAAACAAAAGTGAGTTATAGCGAAACAACCACTTTTAAACGGTTCTCAGATCTTTGAACAGGATGGAATTGAGGGAGCCAAGAAGGACAAAAGGTATAGAATACTTTGTAAATTGGCATCTGTTGATAAATCTCCTTTTTGAATAAAACAAATATTTTAAAAAATTTGGATAAAATATATATGAAAATTGACCTTTTTAAAGTAATTTTCATGGATGAATCCCAGTTGACTCTCGATGAACCTGATAGGTGGGCCAAAGGATGGATTTTATCCAATGCAAATGCGCCTGTGGCTAAAACAAGAAAGCAAAGAGGTGGCAGTGTGATGAAATGGGCGGGAATTGCTGGCCAAGCCATTGTTGGACCATTCAAAGTCGATGAAGGAGTTAAACTCAACAGTACTAACTATTGCGATTTGATGAAGAAGACTTTCTTTGAATTGTACAAGTTCCAGCCTCGCTGTTTCGAAGTGAAGTGTGTATTTATGTACAACAACGATCCTTCTCATGTGTCTAAGTTTACCTGTGAATTTTTTGAGCGTAAAAGGTTTATAGGAGAGAAACCATCATCAAGTTTCGATCTGAATCCGATCGAAAATCTGTTGTCAATTGAAAAGATGAAATTATATGAAATTGGCAAACACTATGATAGCAGAGCAAACCTATGAGAAGCAATTAAAACCGCCATGTCGGTAATTGAACTTGCTGAAGTAAAAGATTTTAAAAAATCACTGGATAATAGGTCGCTGGCAGTTATTGAGAAAAAGGGTCCCTATATTAAGATGTAAATGTTTTAAAGACTTATCATATATGTTTATTACATATTCTATTATAGGTTTTGATCAATTGTTGATGATTTTATTACCTTGTTATTGAAGTAAAAAGTGGTTTTCTAGATTAGCTTCACTTCAGACTGCAGTTTTTATAATAAATCCAATCACTTTAATAATATATGTTGAAACTACTTAATGGTGAATGCTGGCAGTAATAAAACAGTGGTCAATGTGAAATAACAATTTTAAGTTGTGCCTAACGATTGCCACGGGCATAAAACTAAGAGTTGTATCAAACGGTGAGGAACAAAATATATTGTCATCTACAGACAGACTGTTTCACAGCTTATAAGTGTGGGTAGACATCCGATGGCTTCAAGCCGGAATTGAAACCCGACCGATGCGGCAACAGTAGGATTTTCCCCGCTAAGCCGTCCGCGCACGGTCGGAATAAAGGTAAACCTTTACGTGCTTATTCTGTGATTTAACACGCCAATGACAGAGAGAGGTCAATTAAATTAAGGGAAGGGGAAGAACCTTGTAATGTTAGTAGTAATAGTCATTCTTTACAAATTCGAACTTATCTTCCAAGAGTGCACAACCGAGTTTTTCAGGTGCGTATATATATATATATATATATATATATATATATATTCAATAGTATTAAAAAACAACAACAAAATTCCTCGGAAGATTGAGTCTCACGTCATTGTTTATATCTCGTCTCGTTAAAAAAGGACGCAGGCGTGACCCAAAATTCAGACTTTAAAATCTTTTTCACTTTGCGTCGGTTTAGTCAAAAGGGTATAATAAAT